TTAGTTGATTAGAACGGACGTATACAGAGCCTTGAGTTTTGGCTAGAGATTTAGTTAGAGAGAATCTCATTAGACTTTGAGTTAAGTAATCGTTAGAGAAGTAGAAGGTAGATGACTATAGACTCATGTTTTAGTTTTAAATAGTCCAATAAACATGAAACACAGCAATTGTACAATGTACACGGTGCTGTCACTGTACACTTCAATTCATTTCATGTACCGGGCTGAATTTCAACTAGCCAGAGCAAGCCTGTACAGCACAAATCATAGTATATAAGACAAAACGGGCCGGTACGCCAAATGAATGCTCCCCTTCTAGTAAAATTTATGTGCTGTAACGTAAGTATATTTTCACATTTATCAGAATGCTTAAAATAATTTAAATAATTTCATGTTCCACAGTTTTATGGGTTCCACTGTGTTTAGGAAAAAAAGTAGAGAGGTAAATAAAGGTAAAAACTTACTTATTGTTTACATCTTGGATGTTTGTTATTCTTAACAATATAGTTTGATAGACATTTTAGTTTTTTTAAGGGGGGGGGGTGTGAAAATGCTGATCCTCCCCCACCCCTCCCCTCTCAGACACGTGACAGATAAGGATAACCACGAAAAGATTTCCATTATCAGCAGCAAACAAAAAATCCCCCAGTTGCACCTTAAAGATTGTTCTTAACAATAAATAATCAAATATTGTAGGTATATTGTGTTTCTTTCTTAGAAAATCATTATATACCCCATTAAAAGATTACATTCACGATAAAAACCCCAAATTTAACCTTAGGATCGTTATAATGTAAGAGTTTCAGGTCGTCAGTGAAGTCTCATCCTTTGTGGATAACCCTGTATAACCACCCCCCCGAAAAAAGTGGGATATTTAAAAAGTTTTAGAATGTTCCTAAACTTGAAATGCAACCCCATAAACGAGATTTGATATATTTAATTTTAATTTAGTTTTTTTGCAGGAAATTCCGGGTATGTTGATATCAGCGACTTTTTTCTTAACTTCGACAGCGGTGACTCTGAACCTGAAGACAACATTGATGAAAATATTCTCAAAAATCATGATCAGTGGACTTCTCCTGCAGAAGCCGTTGATGTTCCGAATGAAAATTTAGATGGACAAATGAGAACATACGATACACAGAAATATGATGAATTTAAGGAACCGAAAAATATTGAAAGAAGAATAGTTGAAGAAGAAAGTACTACAAAAGGATCATCGGGATTTTTTGGACTGTGGAGTATGTTTCCACGACATTAAGAAGCTTTAAACTTCTACAAAATATGAAAGATACCCTTTTGTGAATTTGTTTAAATCCTGTTCAATAAATTACTATGGTTAATACATGGTTATTTAACGTTGAAATAAAATTCGGTCTGCTGTATTTTAAATTCTGCCATCCCATTCTCCTTTATTGAATAAAATACAATCTATTCATATTTTTATACAAGTTTATCTTTTTTTTACTTTTCGTGACCACTCTCTCATACGCATGACGCTACGTTTAAACCAAAGGTTTTCTGTAATTGTAATATTTACCAAAAGTTTCAATTTTGTTTCTCAGCTCAACTTCTCTCCTTGCCATTTACACACTTAAAGACAAAAAATTCAATAATAAAAAGAATTATACCTTTTTTATGGTCTGTTCAACTATATGAAATTATTTTTAGAGAAAACTAACTTTCTTTTAGAAAATAATAATTAAATTCAACATTTCTTTAACTAATTAACAAAATCTTAAACTATGAGAAAAATTTTTAACTTAAAATATCCGATTGTTATCTTCGTTCTTTCTTTTTATTAAAAGTGTTTAAGAAAATTTTCAAAATTGTAAAAAGAAAATTTGCAATTTTCAGTTCTGTTCTAATTTTTAAGGAAGAGTTATTTAAATTCTCTAGTTCCTTACTGTTCAGTTGAAACTCCCTGGTTGAAACCTGAGGAGCCATTGAAAAATAAATTTTCTAATCCCTATATTTTTCTAATTTATGGTGTAAAATTTGATATTCCAAACTTGGACTATTTGATATAACATAATTCATAGTTTGAAATATCTAAGGTTTACGAATTCTGCAAAGTTTATTTCTGTAAAGATAAAAATCAAGTTTACTTGATATTTATTTTATTTACGTCTTCATTGAAGAGACCATCTGATTGAAGAGCTAAAAGCTGAAAGGGACTGTATGTGCAATTTTAAGTGATTCTTTAATCTAGAATGTCCTATTCACAACAGTACCTTTTAAATCTTTGTCTGATCGAATTTGAACTAGACATCCATGTTTTAGGTTTTAAAAACTGTTTTTCTAAATGTGATGGTTCATGAACAATGAAGAAATTATAAGGATTTCAAGCCATAAAAAAAATGTTTCTACATCCATTATTCTATTATCTATCTATATAATAAAACAAGACATTCATAAATATGTTCCCAATAACCGGCCAAACAGCTGGACCGAAAGGGGTGACTGAGAATGATTCAATGTAGAAGAGAAAGTTGGTCTTCCTTCCTTTCTTCTTTTTAAACTTAATTACTTTGATTCCCTTGTTTTTATTCCGTCTAGAACTTATAAAGAAATGTCTGTCAACAAAGAAAGTTTAGAAAAGTTTAATAGAAAACCCTGAATTGTCATGAAAAAAAGAAAAGACCAAGTCCTGCAGTTATTGATAACACAGCATGGGGCAGAAGGAAATCAAGACTGGTTGTTCTTCTCAACCCGGGGATTATTATTTTCTAAAACTACAGGTTTTTACGGAAATAATGAGCTTATAATACAGAATTCTCCTATGGGGATTTTTGAAATAAATTAACTTTTAGAATTGGTATGGAATTAGGACATAAATCCTTAGATTGACGACGTATTAGAATTGACCCAATACTTTTAATGTGTTTTCCAGTTGAATTGACAACGGTAACCTCTATCCCTGCTGCATTAATCCACACGTCAGTTTTAAATAATCCATTTTCAAACAGAAAAACAAGGATATTTCTTTCATTTTTGCTCAGATACAGATTTAAAACATACTGTTACGGGAACAAACGCTTTAAACGGAGGATTGTATAAAAACACGTGAACAGTCTCTTTAGTTTACATTAAAATCAACTTTTCTGTCAATAGTTCGTTCAAGAATCCTCTCTGGAGAAAACTCCTGGTTTTTACATTGTCAGATTCTAAAGAGAAAAAAACAAGTATTTTTGGAGCCAGAGGTTAGAACGACATTGAGCACAATTAAGGTTACTTTTCTAACAGTAAGTTCTTGTTTTTGCATAATTCAAGACAAATTTCTAAACTTATAAATTTGGACTAAATTGGCTAAACTTTTTGAGAGAACTTATGTGTAACATAAATATGAAATAGGCTTCATTTTTTAAAGAAATATTTGAAATTCCACGAGAAACGACGGGCATCTAATATCATAATTTAATACCAAGTGCGGGTAAACGGCGGTTAAGTAACATTGACAAATGATATAAACCTGAGAAACGCCGGGCACTCCATCTAGTGATAGAAAAGTAGATAAATAGACAGATAGCTAGATAGATAATGATAATGATGTTAAAGAGCTAGGAACGGATCTATCAAATCTATGAATTGAGTAAAGAAGAGAAGAAGAAACCAGATAATCGTCTGCTGGCAGGAGAGCTGGTTAGAACTGTTAGAGTTGGCAACAATCAGATTAAACAGATAATATATCTTCAAGAAAAATATGTACTTTCATACGTCTTCATCTTTTACCTTATATCTTTATTGTAATTTATTTTAAGGAAATAAATGTAGTTTTATCAATTAAAGGAACTGTCAACGTATTTTAAGGAAATAAATGTAGTTTTATCAATTAAAGGGACTGTCAACGTAATTTCAACTGATGCATTCCATTGGAAGAGAGTCATGTTCGATTAATAAATGTGCCTTTTAAACATTTGTTTGAGAAAAAACGATGAAATTGTCTTTGTTTGTAATTTTTAGAGTTCAGCACTTTTTAAGATAGAAAAACGACGATATCTTTATCATAGTTGCTTAAATAAAAAATTAAAGGTTATCATTGTGAATCGGAGATGTCACTAAATTTCGACTGTTCCTTTAATAGTCTGCACTCTGCACTCTGCACTCTGCACTCTGCACTCTGCACTTCAGTTGAAAATAAAAAGTGATTCTGCAGGTTCTAGAAATGGGTCTAGAAACAAGTCTAGAAATGGGTCTAGAAACGAGTCTAGAAACGGATCTAGAAATGGGTCTAGAAACGAGTCAAGAAATGGGTCTAGAAATGGGTCTAGAAACGAGTCTAGAAATGGGTCTAGAAACGGGTCTAGAAATGGGTCTAGAAACGGGTCTAGAAATGGGTCTAGAAACGAGTCTAGAAATGGGTCAAGAAACAGGTCTAGAAATGGGTTTAGAAATGGGACATGATGTAAAACGCTTTTAAACTTCCTTTAAAGTTCCTAGACTGCTCACATAATACAGTTACAGAAAACTTTTAGAAAAACTAATATTTTATTTTACCTTCTGTTTTAATACAATCCAGACGCTACGAGGGAATGGGTGTATAAATTGCATTTGATAGGATCAGGACAGGATTAAGAAAAAAAAAGAAAAAAAATAGTTTTTACCATACGTTCTTAAATATTTATTCTCTCTTTTAAATTAGACTTTTTTCAATCTCCAAGTGGATGAATTATAGCTACGAGTAATGCGCCCAATATATTTTCTTAGATTCGATAATTTATTATGTAATCATTATAAAGTTTACCATGAGTTGAGGATTAATAAACCTTGGAATTTTTTCATCATGGATGGTATTACTCTCAACGTTTAAAGAAAATTGGTTTGGTCTTAAAATAGTTTTTCGGGCTTGATTTTGTTCATTGAAGGATTGAAAAATATAAATATAATTTATAATTTCAGTTAAAAAAACCTACTTTCCGAACGAACTTTCTTTGATTCTTATCTTACCGAATTTACTCCAATCAGTCTAAACATATTATTCTCTAAATTAAATTTTGACCAAAGTTAAAATATCAAATCATATTTTTATTTTTTCTATTTTTAGATTTTACAATTCTATTTCTCGGTTGCCGTTCCCTAAAACAAAATAGAAATTTATCAAATTGATGGGTTAGAATCAGATAAAGGATTTCTATTCTTTGGGACTTCATTTTTCCTAGTCAGGAGCTTAGTAAAACCTTTATATTTTGTGAACAGAGTCCGAATTTAATGAATTTGAGCCACGTCCCAAATCCGCCAAAAAAAGGGTTAAATTGAGCGCCGGCTCAAATCTTGAAAAATTTAATTTAATTTGAAGTGGAACAAATTCTTTAAATTCGATCTCTGGTTTTCTAACTTAATCAAATGATTTCTAGAATAACGTTATGGCGTTCAAGTGTTTGTCATAGTGCTTGTGGATGGACATCTTATAAATTATATTCTATATATTGGACATTTCGTACAGACACAGAAAATATTTTACAGTTTTTTTTTGGGAACAAACCTCAGAATATGAAAAGTAAAAAGAAGTAGTTGAACTATGTAACCATGAGAGTTTATTTACGTCTCTAGCAGTGTGGCCAAGAGTGCCAAGTAGTAAAGCTATTTCAAAAACTTCAGTCTATTAAAAAATTGGACATCAGGTATTTTATAATTTTTAATTCTACAGGAACTGAGTTTTCGCCACAAGCTCAAAATTTCTAATCCCTTTATCTTTAAAACCTAATGGTATAATCTTTGATATTTCAAACTTAGATTAATTGAGCTAACAGAATGCATAGTTCAAAATAACTAAGACATAAGGTTGCAGAGAAAAAGAGATTCGAAAATTTAAGTTTGTGGCAAAGACTCAATTCGTTTGAATTTAGAAATTTTGAAATATGGATTCATGATAAAATATATTTATCTTCTAGGCTTGAAGCTTGTGGCTCTAAACTCTCAGGATTGATGAATATATAATAAAGGAAAGAATATATAATAGATTTAATTTCCTCAGTGCATTGAATAGACACATAGAACTCAAATTTTATCGAAAAATTAAAAGAAAATCTAAATTAAACCTGAGTAGATTTGCTGGTACTCTGAGTAGTTGAGCTGGTACTCTAAATAAACTAAACCTGAGTAGATGTGCTGGTACTCTAAATAAACTAAACCTGAGTAGATGATATGGTACTCGGAGTAAACTAAACCTGAGTAGATGATATGTTACTCGGAGTAAACTAAACCTGAGTAGTTGAGGTACTCGGAGTAAACTAAACCTGAGTAGATGATATGTTACTCGGAGTAAAAAACCTGAGTAGTTGAGCTGGTACTCTGAGTAAACTAAACCTGAGTAGATGATATGGTACTCGGAGTAAACTAAACCTGAGTAGTTGAGCTGGTAATCTGAGTAAACTAAACTTGAGTAGATGAGTTGGTACTCTGGGTAAACTAAACCGTGCTGGTACTCTGAGTAAAAAAAACCTGTGTAGATGAGCTGGTACTCTGAGTAAACTAAACCTGAGTAGATGAGTTGGTACTCTGAGTAAACTAAACTTGAGTACATGAGTTGGTACTCTGAGTAAACTAAACCTGAGTAGATGAGCTGGTACTCTGAGTAAACTAAATCTGTGTAGATGAGCTGGTACTCTGAGTAAACTAAATCTGAGTAGATGAGTTGGTATCTGAGTAACCTAAACCTGAGTATATGTACTGTACTCTGAGTAAACTAAACCTGAGTAGATTATATGGTACTCTGAGTAAACTAAACCTGAGTAGATGATATTGTACTCTGAGTAAACTAAACCTGAGTAGATGAGCTGGTACTCTGAGTAAACTAAACCTGAGGAGATGATATTGTACTCGGAGTAAACTAAACCTGAGTAGATGAGCTGGTATACGGAGTAAACTAAACCTGAGTAGTTGAGCTGGTACTCTGAGTAAACTAAAACTCTCTCTCCCCTCTTTTAGAACAGCATCCGTCTTAATCCATCTGAATGAGGTACAGGTGGGTTATCCAACTCAGTAAGAAAAAAGAGAAAAGGGATGAGAAAGAGCTATGTTACTAATTCAAAAGCTTTACCGACAACCACACAAAAATATAATTCAATCTTTACTTATAAATATCAGTCTTCATCGATATAATGGATAATATTTGTTTATTAGAACAAAATAATCTAAATATATTTCTAGGAAAAAAGCTAAATTCGGAATAGATTTGAAAAAGAGTTGTGTGTAAAACTTATTTTTACTTATTTTTAGTTAAAAATCTAGGTAATTGTAAATTAAACCACTCGTCATTTACGAGTTAAGAACGTAAAACAATAACTTTAAAAAAAGTTAAACTCAAAAACAGTTTTTCTAATTCCAATTATTTTTTTCCGACTCCACAGAAACGGATTTATTAAATGGTTCTAACCTGTCCGTTACAAACACTTCTTTACTTCTGAAGACCACAAACATTATAATAACTTTAAATCAAATTTGCTCTATATTTATAAGTTAGCCATGAATTGTCCAAACGGCTGGACCCAATAAGCTGAATTTTTTTTAGAAAACCCAAGAGTAACATGAGGTAACACAGGTCTATTTTTTAATTCAACATTTAATTTTTCCTATGTGTTTAAAAATTAACGGGCAACGCCGGGTATTTCAGCTAGTATTTTTATATTATTTCTTTAATGTGTGACAAATGTTTAGCAATGGTAGATATATTTTATAAGAATGGAATTATATTTAACTAAAATGTTAAAAATTTGTTAGTTCATAATTTATCTGAATGAAAGTTTCAAATATAAAACTTGACTTTAAATTCGTTTAAATCTTTCCTTTAAAATTCTGTTCAAGTATACAAGTAGTATTTTAAATGTCACTTCTAGAAAAGTCCAAATATTTCAAATGTTTTTAACTTAAAGAAGATTAATTTCTAGCTAAGAATCAAAAGTTTAAATTAGTGCACGAGGAAGGTGCCGAGGACGGCGTTTTCCACAAAAGGAATTGAGTCTTAGGAACAAAATCAAATATTTAAACCTCAATATCTTTAAAGCCCGATGTTGTAAACCTTTGATATTTCAAACTAAGATTATTTGATCTAACAGAATTCAGAGTTTGAAATATTTAAGGTCTGCAATATTTGGTTTAGTGATTAGAAAATCAGAGTTTGTGGCATAGACTCAATTCCTTTCCGCGAAAGATCAAAGAAAACTTTTAATGATTGCTAGAAAAAATCACTATGCATATCTTTTAACTAGCTTTTTCTTGAGTTGAAAAAAATCAATGTTGGTTTTTCAAATGTGAAGCCAAATTTAGCCTCCTGAAAAATCCTCATTTCTAGATTTTTTTTATAACGTAACAGGGGAAACGTATGAGACGTACACTGTACAGGGTGTCCCGCTTCAAATTAGATTGCATAGCTCTAAATTGCAATTTCCGGAGATAATCAGAAAATTTAAAACATTGAATCATTTTTTAAGAATAAAAAAAATATAATTCGAGTATTCGAGTGCGTATTTTGGCGTTAAAGCTGAGAGATAATCTAAAATGAAATGGTATGAATGCGTGTTGCTTTCATACATTTGAATTTATTAGACGGCCATAATTTTGAATTGAAAGAATATTTAAGTTCTCGCGAATATGTTGTGAAAGCTCAAACAAAAAGAGAACTCAGAAGTGCATAGCATACAATAGATATATCATGATTGATATCTGAATTTATTAAGTGGAATACGTGTGGGTTTAGAGGGGAAACTTTTATACGGGATAGCGATTAGCCTGAGACTGAACTCGGTTCATTGCAAACAAGCATATATTCAAGTGAACCTCCATACAAAATGACAATGCCTGATTTACAACGGTGCCCTTAAAAGCTTAGTCTGATCAAAAATGAATTAAACATCAATGTTGTTGTTTTTTTAAAACTGTAAATAGAGAAATTATCAGAATTAAACATTTTTGATCAGAAAAACGACAGTATCATCCACATTTTTGATCAGATTAAGTTTTCAAGAGTATCGTTGTAAATCGGGCATTTTTGAATGGAAGCTCACTTGAAATTACGCCTACAGTCCCTTTAAATTATGGAACTATGTTCATCCCTCGCACTAAAGGTATCCAAGAGATGAACCGTCTGGGAGACCCCAAGCCGCAGGTTTAAATGTCGCCCAGAGCTAATATTCCACGATTCATGTTTTTTTTTTGGCGAATATATATTTAAACGTTTCTTAACCACACAGTAAAATAATGTGTTACACGGGTATATTTTTTTTCTCATAGCGTTGTATATTAATTAGACAAATATTATGTGATGTCGTCCTCCTTTTTCAGGAAATGTTCTCAGAGCTTTTGCATTGTTAACTCCGGGATCAAACATACTTATCTTTTGGGATCCAAAGGACTAGAGGATCGATGAGCGATGACGAGAATAAGAGACTGTGGCGGCTATGAAAGTCGTCTTTCCTTGAAGAACTTCTCGCGGCAAGGAGAAGAATAGGGGAGTTTCTAGAAGCCACGAGATATATATATTTTTCTAACTTTGTAACTTTATATTTAAAATATAGTTAGTCGTTATCTAAATCCTCGTCTTATTGCTATCCGCCAAATTGGTGACCCCGGACTAGTGAATACGTTTCTTTATAAGTCCAAAGTTAAACAACCCACCGCGTTGTATTTTTCCNTTCTGGGGGGACTACTGTGGCGGCTATGAAAGTCGTCTTTCCTTGAAGAACTTCTCGCGGCAAGGAGAAGAATAGGGGAGTTTCTAGAAGCCACGAGATATATATATTTTTCTAACTTTGTAACTTTATATTTAAAATATAGTTAGTCGTTATCTAAATCCTCGTCTTATTGCTATCCGCCAAAAGACAATCATTTTCACGAATTGAACATTTATTCGTCACCAAGCATTAAAGATATTTGCGATTTCACATAAAAGTTAGAATTTATGCTAAAATGTACACAACATATTTTGATACATTTTTCTACTTAGAAATCTTTTATTTAATTTTGACTGCTGAAGCATTTTAACCTGGCAAACTTATTTTATTTGATCTAACTTGGAGGAACATTTATTCAATTTAAACTTTTATTTGATTATTTAAATTTAAACATGGCTCATGATGGAAATCTTTTCATATTTGTTATAAATAGTTCAACATTTAGTTTTGCGAGAATTTTCTTCAATGAAAATGTTCGGATTGATGTTAATTTTGTTTATTGTAAACATAAAAATCTGTTCAGAGATTTACAAGTTTCATTTTTTGTTGAATATGTTTAAACTCTGGGTGTTTGAAAGGTTTTGTTGGGTTGGTTGTTTGTTGCTTCGGTTATTTTGCTGTTGGGCTGAGTTGTTGAATTATTAATATGACCCTTTTGACTTGTAAAATGTCCTAGCTATAAAAGGAATAACAGTAATAATAATAAATGATAAAAAGTGATATGTCCTTTTTGGAATGATAAAGAATAAAGATAAGTTATAAATAGTACTAAATCAACTTGAAATAATAATGATAGATGTTAAGTACAAGGTAATAAAAAGTAAAAGTCAACTTTTGAATGATAATGACAAATCTTCCTTGAAACACTTATTCAGGAAAAAATACTGAAAAGCGATAAGTCAACTTATGAGTTTTGATGAATATTATAATTTAATAATGTTTTCCTGAGATAAATTGAGTTCTCCTGTACTCCTCCGAGGACTGTAAATCTCCCATTCTGTGTCATCCAATAAATAAGAGGGGGAGGTGGGGGGGAGAAGAAAAGAATAGGAGTAGGGGGGTTGCGCAAAATCTATTGAAATATATGATACCGTTGAGACTTTAACAAAAATTCATTATTATTAACGGGATAATACATTTTTAAGTTTTAGTAATAACAAAAAATAAACAAAGCTTTTAATGGAATTCATTCCTCAATTGTTATTCCAGGATTTCTGAAAAAAGTTATCTGTTTTTATTCTTTATTAGCTTTCAAATTCCTAAAATTCCTGTTTATAAGCTTATATCTTCCTAATATTTTTTTAGAGTTCATCTTCCTAATCTTCTCTTTTATAAGTTAATATCTTCCTAATCTTCTTCTTTAAAAGCTAATATCTTCCTAATCTTCTTCTTTATAAGCTAATATCTTCCTAATATTCTTCTTTATAAGGTAATATCTTTCTAATCCTCTTTTAAGCTTTCATCTTCTTTTTATTTTTATTTTTACTCTTCTGTCTACCTCTTACTCTTCTTTACAATCTTTCGTCTTCTAGGAATTTCTCTTTTACATTTGTCTTCCTAATCCTCTTTCGATGACCTTAAACCTCCTTAATCTTCTTCTTTAAAAGTTTTCATCTTCCTAATCTTCTTCTCAATCTTCTTTAATTGCCTTTTATCTTATTTTATTTTTTCATTATTTCCCACTGAAAAGCCTGATCTCTGAAGGCCTATTTATTTGTTGAAACTGCCAGAACTCTGAAACTAGTAAGATTGGACAGATTTCAGTTTTAAACTTTAGCCTAAGTTTTCCTACTCTTAATTTTTATTCATTTCTCTGGATTTACCTTCACTGCAATCTAATCTTAAAGGGACCGTTCACTTATTTGGGTAATTTCAGGGTAAACTAAACAGCCTATTCGCTGTTGATTGGTAATAGTCTTACTTTTCAAAGACAACTGTGGCCGGAGAAAATGCCGATTTTTCGTTCAGAATTTGAGCGGAAAGGGACGGTCCCTCTCTATAGACACTATTTGATGTTTTTTTCAGTAACAGTAGCCGAATAACATTTAAATTTATTATATTTTAATGTCATTATGTGTTCGTTATTATGTACTAAAATCTGAAAACTTTTGATATTTGAGTTAGCAAGAAATTTACGTTTTTCGTATTAAAACATGTAAAATGTGTTTACAAAGACGACGTCTCTACGACAATCAATTAATCATTACTCGTATTTTGGTTCGTAGATTTTGTATATTTTTTTCCCGTATGTGCACAACTTTCCATTTGTCATGCCGCGTCCAATTCAGCTTTTTACACAGGCAATACACAGTGTTGAATGCGATAAAATAGTGTTATTTTAGAAATAGAAAGTTAAAAAACAAAAAAAAAGTAAAAATAATGACATTTACAATTAACAATTAGATACTACAGTTAAATTTTATGGTCGAAATTTTTTTTGATTCACAACATGCTGAAAAAAACATCAATTAGTGTCTATAAAAAGGGACCGTCCCTTTCCGCTCAAATTCTGAACGAAAAATCGGCTTTTTCTCCGGCCACAGTTGTCTTTGAAAAGTAAGACTATTACTAATCAAGAGCGAATAGGCTGTTTAGTTTACCCTGAAATTCCCCAAATAAGTGAACGGTCCCTTTAATAGAAAAAGATTTATGGACATTAATAATTTCTTTCGATAATGTTTAAAACAATTTTTAATATAAAACATCAAAGAAAGATGAAAATAATATTGATTGTTTTATAATTCAATTATGGTTCAATCTTCACATCATATAAATATGGTTTTTCTATTATTAGCTATTCTAGGTAAGCCTGGAAAGAATTTTCTAACCTTCTACCCTAGATTAGACCGGGGTTTCTAATCTTCTACCCTAGATTAGACTGGGGTTTCTAACCTTGTACCCTGGATTCGACTAGGGTTTCTAACCTTATACCCTAAATTAGATAGGGTTTCAAACCTTCTACCCTGGATTAGACTAGGGTTTCTAACCTTCTACCCTAGATTAGACAGGGGTTTCTAACCTTCTACCCTGGATTAGACTAGGGTTTCTAGCCTTCAACCTTGGATTAGACTGGGTTTTCTAACCTTCTACCCTGGATTAGACTGGGTTTTCTAACCTTATACCCTGCATTAGACTGGGTTTTCTAACCTTATACCCTGTATATTCTTTTCTTATTGTTTATTTGTGACTTAAATATGTTAGTTTACACTTCCCTTTCCCCGAACCCCCTTTCCTCGCACCTCCTCCCCCCTCCTGTCATGTCCTTGCTCCCTGTATCCCACACCCGCCTCCTTTCTTACTCAGGTTTGGTTGGAATAGAAGGGGGGGGGGGAAGNAAATTGTGATTTTTTATTTGTATTATCTCGTGCTTTGTAGTTGAATAAAAATATGAAATATGAAATATGAAAATATGAAATACCTTGGATTAGACTGGGTTTTCTTACCTTCTACCCTGGATTAGGCTAGGGTTTCTAACCTTCTACCCTGGATTAGACTGGGTTTTCTAACCTTCTACCCTGGAGTAGACTAGGGTTTCTAACCTTCTACCCTGGATTAGACTAGGGTTTCTAACCTTATACCCTAGATTAGACTGGGTTTTCTAACCATACCTTAAATTAGACTGGGGTTTCTAACCTTATAAACTAGATTGGACTAGGGTTTCTAACCTTATACCCTGGATTAAACTAGGGTTTCTAAACTTTTCCTCTGGATTAGACTAGGGTTTCTAACCTTCTTCCCTGGATTAGGCTGGGTTTTCTAACCTTATACCTTAGATAAGACTGGAGTTTCTAACCATATAACCTAGATTAACTGGGGTTTCTAACCTTATAACCAAGATTAGACTAGGGTTTCTAACCTTCTACCCTGGATTAGGCTGGGTTTTCTAACCTTATACCTTAGATTAGACTGGGGTTTCTAACCTATAACCTAGATTAGCTGGGGTTTCTAACCTTATAACCAAGATTAGACTAGGGTTTCTAACCTTCTACTCTGGATTAGACTAGGGTTTCTAACCTTCTACCCTGGATTAGGCTTGGTAAGGTTTTCCACTCTCCAGATCTTAGATCAAACCATTCAGCACTTGTCAGATTCATACTTTCTCCTTAAATGTTTTGTTATGTATTTGAGTAAATGAGAGAAAAAAAGCAGATTGATGCTTTCTATCAAAAGAACAATAGAGTTTTACCAAAGGCCCCTTTACTCTAGTTTTATTTACATTTTTAAGCCCCGTGTGTTATTTTTATAAATCATTTGAGCCCTCAAGGACATCTTGAAAAATTTGCTTAGCTGTTTATCCAATCAAAAAAATTACATAATTTTGTGCATCATTTAATAATCTCTTTAAAATCTTTAAAATAAAGAAACTCGCAAACTTTGTAAAATTCCATTATTTTACCAAACCTTTTATTTGAAACTAAAGTAATAAATAATTTTATCGATTTAATGGTTATTATATCGTTAGAACTGACGACGGTCAACCCAGACCGAAATATATATTCAATAAATGTGGAACTAACATCTACTTTTTTACTCTTCAGAGGTTTGGTCCATCGTCCATTTCTAATTATATCCGATTTTGAGAGACAAAAACAGTTTAAATGCATTATGCTGCACAAAAGCTTTTTAAAGTAATTTTATTTCTATTTTATGTAAGTTTGTAAATTCTAATAAATCCTATTTTATGTAAGTTGAAAGATTCTTAAAAATCCTATTTTTTTAAGTTTGTAGATTCCGATAAATCCTATTTTATGTAAGTTTGTAGATTCTGATAAAACCTATTTTATGTAAGTTTGTATATTCTGATAAATCCTATTTTATGTAAGTTTGTAGATTCCGATAAATCCTATTTTATGTAAGTTGGTAGATTCCGATAAATCCTATTTTATGTAAGTTTGAAGATTCTGATAAATCCTATTTTATGTAAGTTGGAAGATTCCGATAAAGTTTGTTTTACCGTTCATTCCTCCGACAACGACTATTCCGCTTCTTCCGTTGATTTTACCCTTAACAACAGGTTCTATCAAAAATCTTTAAAAAGTACAGAAAAAGGATTAAAGAAAAAGAGATACATCCCGGATTCACAACGGTACCTCTTAAACATTCGGCTGATTATCCCGGACAAAGAACTCAATTTAAATATCTCTTAAATGTTGAGTGTGTAGTCGTAATCATGGAATATACTATGTCTAAACTTGATCTTCTAAACTTCAAATGTAAATATTCATATTCTGCCACTTCTATAAAGTAAATATTAATATTCTGCCACTTCTAGGAAGTAAATATTCATATTCTGCCACTTCTAGGAAGTAAATATTCATATTCTGCCACTTTTAGGAAGTAAATATTCATATTCTGCCACTTTTAGGAAGTAAATATTCATATTCTGCCACTTCTATAAAGTAAATATTCATATTCTGCCACTTCTAGGAAGTAAATATTCATATTCTGCCACTTCTAGGAAGTAAATATTCATATTCTGCCACTTCTATAAAGTAAATATTCATATTCTGCCACTTCTAGGAAGTAAATATTCATATTCTGCCACTTCTAGGAAGTGAATATTCATATTCTGCCACTTCTAAGAAGTAAATATTCATATTTTGCCACTTCTAGGAAGTAAATATTAGTTTCATTTCAATATAAAACAGATTGCAAACAAAGTGCTCAACAATTACAAGCATTTATGTAGAAAACAAAGAAAAGTCTGTCATCCTTGATCAGTCTAAGGTTTAAAGTTGTGAATCTGGAATGCTCCTCTTTAAATGGAAAATTACTTGAAATTGAGCGTATGGTCCCTTTAAAACTAAAAATATTTTCAAACTTTTTCAATAAATGATCAAAAATAAATTTTAAAATGTTAAAGGCACCTTTAAACAAGCGTGCTGTCGTCTTCCAACATTCATTCTGTTTAAAGAATACCATCTTAAATATGGAATACAATAATAAAAAAATATAATATCATTTTTAAATGAACTGTAAGCGTAATTTTAAATGACCCTTTATGCAAAGGTAGCAATGCTCGATTCACGTTGTCAACCTTGAAACCATTATGTGATCTGTAATGAGGAAGATATTGTCGTTTCTTTAGATTTAAATTTGTCGTTTTTATGATAATTCCTGCAGTAGAAATGCTCAAGTCCCTTTTGTAGAAAACCACAATTGAAAATAATCAGTTTTTAAAATTATAAACATTGATATCTAATTCATACTTGATGAAGCAAAGTTTTTAATTGGGTAACTCTATGAATCGGGTATTAACATCTTCGCATGGACGGTCATCTGAAATTACGCTTTTAGTCCCATTAAGTTGGTGTTAGATTACTCAGAAAAATGTCTGAATATATAATCTAGAAATATTCTAAGAACATGTTAGCTAAGCCATATTGTATCCTGGTTTTTTTCGTTCAGATTTTGGAAACATATTTCTATGTTAAATTTGCTTTATAATTACAATTGGATCTTTTACTTCGTAAAGTTTTTCCCAAAGTAAGGAGTTGAGTCTTTGCCACCAATTCGAATTTTATATCCCTATATCTTTGCAACCTGAATGAGTAAACCTTTCATGTTTTTTAACTTAAATTATTTGATATAACATAATTCATAAATATCTAAGATCTACTACATTGTGTCGCAAAGATTGAATTCCTTTACTTACTTTCCTGATGAGAATGAGAATTTGAAGACATTGTTCTCCCTCCCTCTTCCTCCTGTAACCACAAGCTCAGGACCAGTAGGCCCATTAACCACTACCGTACAGTGCTCACTTACACCAACCTAATCAATTTAGAACTGAAAGGGACTGTAAGCGTTATTTCAAGTGACCCTCTATTCAAAGATGGCAATGCTCGATTTACCACGGTACCCTTAAAACCTTAATCTGATAAAAAATGTAAAAGATATTGTTGAAAAGTGTTTATTTCTGTGAATTTCGCCATGTGCCAGTTCAAGTCACTTTCGCAGAGAAACCACAAATGAAAATAAAAGAAATAAAAACATTTAAATCTAATTCGTCCGTAATCAGGCAAATTTTTTAAGGGTGCCGTTGTGAATCGGGCATTGTCTTCTTTGCATGGAAAGCAGGGTTTCCAACAGAAGAAAACTTTTCGCCAACTTTTGTGTTTCGGAAACTTTTCGCGGAATTTCGCATTTTTCGCGAAAATGAACTTGCAGAAGCAAGCGAAAACAATGCGGAATTTCTCTAAAAAAATTCAAAATCTATAAATTAAATGGGATTAAAAATCTTTAAATCTAAATCAGTGAATTGGATTAAAAAAACATAATTTGTTGTTGCAAATACAAAAGAATGCTTTACCATATGTAAATGAATAAGATGATGTACCCTATTCCGACTGAGTGACATCTTTCTACCCAACCTACTCCTGGAGTACAAACAGATATCAAGGTTTAGTTCTCATCTTTCTACCCAACCTACTTCTGGAGTACAAACAGATATCAGGGTTAAATTGATCAATATTTTTGATTGCCCTTTTAACTTTAAAAGGAATTGAGTCTTTGCCACAAAATCTGATTTTCTAATCACTATATCTTTGGAACCAAATGTTGCATACCTTAGATATTTCAAACTATGAATTCTGTTGAATCAAATAATCAGAGCTTGAAATATCAAAGGTTTACAGCATCGGTTTCTAAAGATATTGGGGTTTAAATATTTGACTTAGTTACAAAGACTCAATTCCTTTGTTTGCTGCATTTTTTAGATGTAAATGAATGCACAAGCCTTAAGCGTGCATTTGGCTTGATTACAAAACTGATTAACCTTACATTGTATTAATAACAAAAATAAAATATCGTGTTTATTGAGCATTTGCACGTTTGATCGTAAAAGCAAGTACGTTACAAAACTGGCGCTTTCTTATAGGAAGTATTTAGCTTATTTTTTTTACATCACTTCCCTCTCATGTATCATGGGATTCCTTGTTAAATATATTTTTAAATTTTTAGATTTTTAAAAATTTTAAATATTTCTTGGAATTTTTATTTTTCTTGTAATGTTATACCTGGCTCCCCCTAGACTAAGGATATATCTACCAACTCTAGTCATACTGCATCCTCGCCTTAATATTAAATTATATTTAAACGTTAAAGATCTAACAAGAATCAGGGCTTAAACAATTCGTTCGATTTAAATTATTCGAATCTAACATTTTTTTATAATTTATTTCTTTTCGAAAAAGATTTTAATTTTATCCGTCTATCTGTCTACCTTTTCTCTATTTTTCTATTCTTTTAATTATAAAAAAGTAAGAAAATATCATCAATTTTGTAGAACATATTATAAGTTTTTCTCGTACCATCTGTTTTAATGATTAAAAAATTGTTTTTGGAACCAGAGTTTTGACAAAAACTCTGGTTTTATAATCCCAATAGCTTTGCAAACTTTTGTCGTAGACTTTTGGTATTTCAAATAGTCTGATTTTACAGATTGCAAAGATTTAAGGACGGGAACTCCCTTTTGTTTACTTGAGTACCTATAGTCACTCTGCTGTCCCCCAGTAGATTTCCAATTCTTCAACAGAAAGTTAAAATTATAACATCTTCCTAAAATGTAATTTCAAGTGACCTTCCAGTTATTATGTTGTATATCCGATTATCAATAGTATCCTTTAAAATTATGTCTGATCAAGTCTGAATCACTAGGATTTCCTGTAATTAATTTTAGCTTGTAAGTTTGCCATTTTAAATACTTAAAAAATTTTGGCGAAATTATTCTTTTCGAATTGGCGCATTTTCAAAAAAAAATTACTACTATTTTTCTGAATTTTTTTTTCAATTTTGATGTTCCATAACCCTTCCCTGGGGTTATATGGTCCCACACAAAATTTGGAACCGATCGGTTCAGCCGTTTTGACGTTTATTGGATACAAACGGACAGACACCCAAGTACAAACAATACAGCAAAGTATATTTATATAGATAGATATATCCATATTTGTTATTTAAAACCTTTTTTTTCATATATAGGGTTTTTTTACAAAAAATATGAATAAACTTGATGCTTCATAAAAAAATTGATAAAATTAATTAGTTATTCATGCTTCCCTTGTTACATTTTTAATATTAATAAATTGACTTTTTCACGCTTCAGCCACATTATGAATACTGATTAATCCATTAAAATCCAATCCAGCAAATTAGTTTCTATTCATTTTAACTTATAAAAGGTCGAGAGATAAAAATGTGATGAGAGGGGTGTAAGCTTTTGGGTGAATTAAAAAAGGTAACATTTTAAGGGACTGTAAGCTTAGTTTTAAGTGACCTTTTAAAGATATCGTGTGAATCGAGCATTGTCATATTTGTTGGGAGTTCACTAGAAATTACGCTTACAGTCCTTTTACATTTTAAAAGGGGCTCAATTAAGGAATGAGAGAGGATTTAGAATAACATACCTGGTTTATAAAGCCAACCATAGGGTGTTAAAAAGCTGGAACCTGAAACCAACATGAAGGAATTGACTGAAACTCAAACTCAAATATTCCTATCCTTGCATTTTTGCAACCTGATGGCGTAAACCTTCGGCATTTTAAACTAAGATTATTTGATCTAAATGAATTATACAGTTTCAAATATCTAAGGGTTTCGATATTTGGTTGCAAAGATATAGGAATTAGAAAATCAGAGTTGGCGGCAAAGACTCAATTTGTTCTTCAAATTTTTCAATAAATGCTTTCTCGATAATTGTAATGTTTAGTTTAAAACCTGAGCTGCATGAGAGAAGAGAGCTACCGGTGTAAACTAAAAAATATAAAAATAAAAACAAAAACAATTCTTTAATCAGAGTTAGGTCAAGGATTTTTCAAACAAATTCTGAGCAAATCACAACATTTTTCTTTTTTACTTTTCTCAACTTCGAGTTTACAATTTTTAATGTTTACTTTAACTTGGCTTAAATCTTAACTTTTATCTAAACTTAACCTTAATCTTGATTTTTATATAAAACTTTTAAACCTTTAACTCAATGTTAACCTTTTCACTTGACTTTATCTAAATTAAGCTAGTTCTAACTTGTTGTATACTGTTCGTCCCCGCGGACTCCTTCCTCTGGTAGCTGGAGAAGTTTGTTTCCTCCTTGGTCTAGAGTTTCAACCTGAGAGATTACTCCCCCTACTCCGAACCCTCCTAGAAATGGGAGTTTTTTTAAACCAAGCGTAAATTCTTTTTATATTTGATTTTATTGATAATTACCTATAATTAGTGTGACAAAGACTGGCTTTTGAGGTTTTGTTGTTGTTGTTGTTGTCGTCGTCGTTGTTGTTGTTGTTGTTGTTGTTGTTGTTATTGTCGTCTTCGTTGTTGTTGTTGTTGTTGTTGTTGTTGTTGTTGTACCGGAGAGATGTAAAACAACTGAACTATCCACTGCTAGACTGTCCAAATCCTTTATACATAGATACAGGATTTCAAGTTTTGGATTGATTGACAGTTCACCCCTTTGGTCTGTTTTCAGAACTTTATATTTGTATTTTTAGACATTTAAATTTGATTTTAGAAAACTTAAAAGTTTTAAATAAAAAAGTTGTGCATTAAAAAGTAAAAGTAAAAAAGAACTAAAGAAGAGTTAATAAACCTCTAAATCCTTCTCAAGCTTGTAATCATATTCAATCTCTTTGTACTCGGAGTCGTAGTCATGCTGTTCCTCCTCCTCAGCACTAGTATCAACTCCGTCCTACTCAGGGTTTAATTTGGCACAGGATATATTTGCAAGGTTCAATTTGGTGCAGGATATATTCTCAGGGTTTGATTTGGTGCAGAATATTTACTCAGGGTTCAATTTTGTGCAGGATATATTCTCAGGGTTCAATTTGGTGCGGGATATTTACTCAGGGTTCAATTTGGTGCAGGATATATTCTCTGGGTTCAATTTGGTACAGAATGTATTCTCAGGGCTCAATTTGGTACAAGAAAAATACTCAGGGATTAATTTAGTACAGAATATTTACTCAAGGTTCAATTTGAAACAGGATATGTACTCAGTGTTCAATTTAAAACAGGATATGTACTCAGTGTTCAATTTAAAACAGGATATGTACTCAGTGTTCAATTTAAAACAGGATATTTACTCAGGGTTCAATTTGGCGCAGGAGAATTACTCAGGGTTCAACATATTACATGATAATTACTTAGACAATGTACATTTAATCAGGGTTTGAAGTAGAGCAGGTTTTTTTAAATGGTTCAACATGGTACAGTCAAACTTAATAAATCTATAATCAATAAGGATTACTTTGTAACTTTAAAGAAAATCTACCAGTTGAATACTGAATATTCTCTTAGAATGGATTTACCTGATAAATGAACTCACTGTCAGCATCCAGGTTTTGACTCAGCACACCTGAGATGGAATGTAAAGAATTTGAGCCGCGGTTTAAATCCGCCAAAACCCGGTTTAAAATAAGCGCCGGCTTAAATCTTGAAAGATTTGATACAATTTTAAGTGAAACCAACCATATTTAAACCGCGGCTTAAATTTAAACCGCCGCTCAACTTCTTTAAATTCGACCACTGGTTTATCTTAATTATTTTATAATGTTGCACAAGAAAAGTTCCATAAAATTGTTGGGCTATTATAAAATATTTGCGGTTCTTTAAAAAATATTTTTGTAAAGTGATGTCCTAAATAACCTGAAATAATATTAATTGATTGATAACTAAAAAGTCGTCTTTGACCTTAGAAAAAGTTTGCGGCATTCATATTAGGTAACTTGATTTTAGCAATATTTTATCATAAAACTTCAATATAGCACTAATCCTGTCATTTTTTGCTCTCTAAAGAACCAGAGATATTAAAAAATTTGTTTAAATTTGAATTTATTGAATCTAACCATGAAAATTTCTTATTCTGAACGAAATCATTCATATCTCCGGTAATTATAAAAGCGCAAAAATGGCATACCACATTTTGGAAATGACAGGATTAGACTAGGCTGTAATTTTTTTTTCAAAAATTTATATTGTTAAAACAGGTTTACAGGTTACCTATGTTGAATGCTGCAAAATATTTCTACGGTCAAATGCGACTTTGAAGTCATAAATCAAGGAATTAAGTCTTTGCTCTAAACTCTGATTTTCTACTCCTTGTATATCTTTCCAACTCAATGTCGTAGACCTTAGATATTTCAAACTATGTATTCTGTTAAATCAAATAATCTTATTTTGAAATATTAAAGGTTTACACCATCAGGTAGCAACGATATTGGAGTTAGAAAATTTGAGTTTGTTGCAAAGACTCAATTTCTTTATATACATCCGGGTTATTAAGATACAATAACCTATGCAGATAATAGTAATAGTCCTAAATATATATATTAAATATATAATTTTTTTAGTTGTTATGGTTCGTTTAGATATTAAGATGTAATTATCAAAATAAAATGGAAAATTGTTTTTGGTACATACAAAATACGCGAAACAACTTTACTATTTTTATTATTTTTTCTTCCGAAATTAACTAAAAATGTATTCTCTATTCTTCAATGTATATACTTATGCCTGGGTGGCTGTCTGTTTGTTTGTATTCAATAAACTTAAAAACGACTGAATCGTTAGGGCCCAAATTTTGTGTGGGACTTCACATGTCCCCAGGGAAGATTTATAGATGGTCAAAATTTTAAAAATTTGGCAACAACAAATTCGATTTTCATTAAATTTTGAAAATCCACGAAATTGTTTGATAAAATCCGCAACTTTTTTGTTTGTTTTTGTGTTTGCAAAGGGAAAACGTTCACAATTAAAATAAGAGATGGGCGCCAAGCGCCCTAAAAGCCTAGTTTCCAAAATTTCATTAAAATCTATTGATAAATGTAAGGATCATAATGAAAAAACTCTCTAAAATTTGTTAATGCAAATCTCTAGTCTCTACCATATCTAAAGAAATAAACCATCAAAAAGAAGATAAAGAAGATACATTTTGAAAAACAAAATTGTTATTATAGAAAGTTCCATTTTGTCGACTTTGTAAGATTTGGAGCAGATATGTACTGATATTTTTCGCAGATCTTTTAATTATCGATAGATTTAAAAGAATCGTTGGAATAGAATAAAGTAAAGATTTTCTAATTAATTTCTGAAGAAAAAAAACACAGAAAAAATTCGGCGGGAAATTGTTTTCTATGAACAAAAAATAATTTTGCGAACGACAGTAATTGACAAGATTAAAAAACGTCCTGTATTTCTTGAGCAGTTTTGTAATGCAAGAATTTAAAAATAATTATTCATAAAAAAATGTTGAGTGTAAGATCCTCTTAAGAGAAAATTCAAAAAATGTCATACATAGCTTTCTCAATATAGAATTTTAGTGGAAAATAGTTAAATTCCAGGTGAATGTTTTTCAATGTGCATACTGGATAAATATAAGATAAATGGAATTTTATAATTTTTACCTGAACCAGAAAACAATGTTAAAAAAAGAACAACCCGGACCTACAATATACAAGTTTATTTTCTGTATAAAAAGATTCTGAACAAAAGGTCTCTAGATTGATGAAAGAGATTATGCGTGACATTTAAGTTCTAACGCAGCTTTTTTAGAAATCCGCTAACCGCCCACCAGACGTTGCTGCGTTTTCACTTAATACAAATATTGCAATAAAAAAATTTAAATCGTCGATACGGTTGCGAATTGACGATTTAATATCGGAGAAATCATAGTGAGGCCCCAAACAAAAATATTTTAAAAAATTTCATGTTACACATAATTTTCTTGGAAATATTATGCAGATTTCAAATCTGCTTTTAGAGAAATGAAAATTGATTGAGTTAGAGCTAGAAAACATTTAAAAGTTATAACAGATTTTTGGACCGTGATTTTGCTATAGCTTCTTTAATTTTTAATATTTTTAAAAGCGCTTTGCAGATTTTAATTCATCATAAAATTTCCAAGAAAATATATAACACGAAATTTTTTCATTTTTATTTTTTGGCCTTGCGGTGATTTTTCCGAAATTAAGTTGTCATATCGCAGTCTTATGGACAATTTTAAATTTTTTTACTGCAATATCTTTTTAAGTGAAAACGCAGCAACCCCAGGCGGTTCCAATATTGATCATCCTTGTGGACGTTATATTATTAAGTGATCAACTTGTTTATCCTTGTTATACTTGTTTGGTTTATGTTTCACACTGCGGTATACATGAAATCCATCATTTGTTTGGTTTATGTTTCACTCTGCGGTATACATGAAATCCATCATTTGTTTGGTTTATGTTTCACGCCCCGGTATACATGAAATCCATCATTTGTTTGGTTTATGTTTCATACCGCGGTATACATGAAATCCATCATTTGTTTGGTTTATGTTTCACACCGCGGTATACATGAAATCCATCATTTGTTTGGTTTATGTTTCACACCGTGGTAAACATGAAATCAATCATTTTTTTTGGTTTGTGTTTCACTCTGCGGTAAACATGAAATCCATCATTTGTTTGGTTTATGTTTCACACCGCAGTATACATGAAATCCATCATTTGTTTGGTTTATGATTCACTTTGCAGTATACATGAAATCTATCATTTGTTTGGTTTATGTTTCACTCTGCGGTAAACACGAAATACATCATTTGTTTGGTTTATGTTTCACTCTGCGGTATACATGAAATCCATCATTTTTTTGGTTTATGTTTCACACCGCAATACCATGAAATCCATCATTTCTTTGTTATATGTTTCACTCTGCAGTATACATGAAATCTATCATTTGTTTGGTTTATGTTTCACACCGTAATACCATGAAATCCAACATTTGTTTGGTTTATGTTTCACACCGTGGTAAACATGAAATCCGTCATTTGTTTGGTTTTTGTTTCACACCGCAGTAAACATGAAATACATCATTTGTTTGGTTTATGTTTCACTCCGCGGTATACATGAAATCCATCATTTGTTTGGTTTATGTTTCACTCCGCGGTAAACATGAAATACATCATTTGTTTGGTTTATGGTTCACACCGCGGTATACATGAAATCCATCATTTGTTTGGTTTATGTTTCACACCGCGGTATACATGAAATCCATGATTTGTTTGGGTTATTTTTTATCGTGAATCCAGCATGACCCTTTTTAAATGAAGGATTACTAAAAATTTGGGAAGACATGTTCTGTAGTAGAACACTTTTTTGACTGTGCAACTATACGTTCAAGGTCGTGTGATACAAAAGATTGAACTTTAAGGAGATCTGTGGAACAAATCAATTCGAATATCGTCCCCGGAGACTAAGCATTGTTTGCTGGGAGTTTGACGCTATATGTTTTTAAGGTATAATTATAATTTTGAGGGTGGAGAATATATAATTAATCAACAACAGGGTCTGTGTGCAAATTAATTTAAAAAAGAAATTTTCTAGAAAAAAATGATAATATTAATTCATTATTTCAATTAAATGAAAGCGTTAGCATTCTATTAAAAGCTACGATGTATAATGCATATATGTGTCCTCAATGTGCCATTAATATTTCAATCCTCATCTCTGCGAGCTCTTCATGTTGATACATATTGCCAGTTGATAAAATATAAAATATATATGTAGTTAAGATGCATAAGATTCTTAAAGTTGAAACAAATGTAACGTTATATTTGTAATTATGGAAAGGGGTGTAAATAAATGTATTTCTTGTTTTATTTCAGATAACTTAGAAAGGAATTGAGTCTTTGCCACAAACTCTGATTTTCTAATCCCAATATCCTTGCAACCCAATGTCGTGGACCCTTGACATTTCAAACTATGAATTCTGTTGGATCAAGTAATCTGAGTTTGAAATATCAAAGGTTTACAACATCGAGTTCTAAAGATATTGTGGTTTAAATGTTTGATTTTGTTCCAAAGACTCAATTCCTTTATCGATTGATACATGTAGATACATACAATGCTGTATTGTGTATTCTCACATTTGTCTAGTTTCAAATTTGAAATTGCTTAGATGTTCAATTAAAATTTGTTTGATATTTCAAAGGAATTGAGTCTTTTCCACAAACTCAAATTTTTAAACCTCTATATCTTTTCAACCTAATATCGTAATCCTTCAATATTTCAAACTAAGACTATTTGGTTAAACAGAATGCATAGTTTGAAATATCTAAGGTTTACGACATTTGGTTTAGAAGACATAAAAATTTGAAAGTAAGATTTTGTGACAAAAACACATTTCCTTTCGATAATTTGATATAACATAATCTATAGTTAGAAATTTAAAAGGTCTACGACATCGGGTTGCAAAAATATAGTGTAGGGAAAATTTGAGTTTGAGACAAAAGCTGTGGATACTATTCATAACAGATATTGTTAAATGTGCTTTGGTTGGTGTTTCAAGTATTTAACTATAAGCTTCAAACAATTGCTGCAAAAAAGACGAGTATTCGAGTATTCAGTTGGTGTATTTATTGGGACTTACTTTATCATAAAAAATTGAATATGAATTACCAAGGATTGATTGAAATACATGACTACGCAGCGATACTTCTCAACCGCCCGCACTTCATGAACTAACCATATAAAAATGCGTAACATTGCATCGCGTATATTTATGCATCCGTTTCAATCAATATAAGAGATAGAAAATAATCGTGGCCGAGGTCGGAAATTTAAAAGAATATTGAAGAAACCATGTAACGTCTTTTTTACAAATAGTATTTACTTTGAACAAACAATCAATTTTAAACAAAAACAATACTTATGAGAAAGTTTATTCTTTTTATTTTTCTTTTTCCTTTTCTTTTAAATGGAGCCCTCTCCATCAGGTCGTAAAGATATAGGGATTTAAACATTTAAGGTTGAGGAGGGTAATTTAGGTGTTATAAAGATTAATGTTTTTTATGTTACTGTGTGTTATCAATTTCATTTGAGAAATGTAAATAAATTAATCAAATTGGATTCAGAGTGCTGCGCCAAAACTTTGATTACTTGTATTTGATTAAATATAATTATAGTTTCCACGGATCATCATTTAATTATTTGAATACATATCAGTTGGTTAGTTTCAATGACAGGAGATAAGCAATAATACTTTAGACGACATGATGATATAAAACATAATGATATGGGATCATGATGAGATGGAACATGATGAGATGGAACATGATGAGATGGAACATGATGATATGTGAACATGATAAGATGGGAACAAGATGAGATGGAACATGATGAGATGGGAACAAGATGAGATGGAACATGATGAGATTGTAACATGATAAGATGGAAACAAGATGAGATGGAACATAATGAGATGGAACATGATGAGATGGAACATGATGAGATGGAACATGATGAGATGGAACATAATGAGATGGAAAATGATGAGATGGAACATGATGAGATGGAACATGATGAGATGGAATATGATGAGATGGGAACATGATGAGATGGGGACATGATAAGATGGGAACAATATGCGATGGAACATGATGAGATGGGAACATGAGGAGATGGAACATGATGAGATGGGAACATGATGAGATGGAACATGATGAGATGGGAACATGAGGAGATGGAACATTATGAGATGGGAACATGATGAGATGGAACATGATGAGATGGGAACATGATGAGATGGAACATGATGAGACGAGAACAGTATGAGATGGAACATGATGAGATGGAACATGATGAGAGGGAACATGATGAGATGGAACATGATGAGACGGAACTTGATGAGATTGAACATGATGAGATGGAACATGATGAGATGGAACATGATGAGATGGAACATGATGAGATGAAACAAAATGATACGGGAACATGATGAGATGAAACATGATGAGATGGAACATGATGAGATGGAACATGATGAGATGGAACATGATGAGATGGAACATGATGAGATGGAACATGATGAGATGGAACATAATGATATGGGATCATGATGAGATGGAACATGATGAGGTGGAACATGATGAGATGGGACATGATTGGATGGAACATGATAAGATGGAACATGATGAGAAGAGGCATGATGAGATGGAAAATGATGAGATTTAGCATGATTAGATGGAATATGTTGAGATGGAACAAGATGAGATGGAACATGATGAGATGAAACAAGATGAGATGGAACATGAATATGAATATAATAAGATGACAAAAGAAGAAATAATGAAACGCAAAATATATTTATTTTTATAATATAAAGCAAACACACATTGTTTAAAACCCAAAAAAAAACAGAAGCTTTGTTAGATTCAGAGTTTTCGGATAGAATCCTAGATGAAGTTCTCCGGATTAGATCACTCCTAAACTCTTTCCAACTTTGACAAATGCTGCAACTGTTCTATCAATATCTTCCTAAAAGTGAAGAAAAATTAAATATTTTTTTTTAAAGCATTCTAACATTTTCTTTATTTGCAATTTTGATCTATATTAAAGGGACTGTCGACCTAATTCGGCTCAATTTAAAGCAATTTACATCAGTTTCCCTAAGCTCTTTAAGAATGAGTAAGATATCGTTGTTCTTCTATCTGTAAACGATAAAAATTAGCGCAATCTTCTTTCCTTGTCAATAATCCAATAATCCAATTCAAAAATCCAAGACTCTCGATTCACTTTTACAGGGGACCGCTGTTGAAAATTATCAATTTTTAGATAGAAAAGCAAGAAAAAAAGCAAAAAAAGAAAAGAAAAGCAAGATAAAAAGTATAAGGTATTATTGTTAAGTAGACATGAAACTTGTTAATTGGGTTTCATTTGAAATTACAATGACAGACCGTTTAAGTCACACTTTATTTCTTCTCTTGTTCATAGAACAACTTTACGCTTCAGTCCATGCACAGTAGTGATAAAGGTCAACGTAGTGCGTTTTTCTAATAAAACAGAAAAAGTATTTTATGAGAATGTATTTATTGCAGCTACGTACTTGGGAAAAATAATAAAAAAGTGTAGAGTTCTCAAGAATGATCCTTGAGATTTACAGTCTAATATTATTGATACAGGGTCACCAACAAAGGAAAGTCTTCAAAAACGACGTTACACGCATAGAGAATAGAATATATAGAGAGGAATTTACTAGAAAAAAGTGTAAAACGGCCATTTTGTTGTACTGTTTCCATACTGCAGGTGTACTTCACATATTTATGCTATATAACCTGTTGGGCCCTGAAATATCATTTTATAGAAAATCTAAAATTATTGTTAAAAGTAAACCAAATTATGAAATAGGCTGGTTTCATAATTGACCAATGATCATTTCACATAGACTCTATGCCTTCCACTTTACAAACGATGATTTTCCGTTATTACTATAAATCAAATGATGTTTTTATTCACCTAATTCATTATAAAGTTTATTTAACAGTTTAAAAAATTTGAAATTGAAATGGATAGTCTAGGAATCATACTTTATTAATGTACTCTACTGCATATAATTTGTGAACATTTACATGATTTGTACACTTTTAACTCCCTTTCAGGCTGAAAGGGACTGAGAAAATTCATACCGAGAGATTCTTTTAATTCCTCTCTATATATTCTATTCTCTATGGTTACACGTTATACGTTATGAAAACAATGTAGAATATTATTTCAAGTCTAGATTTTAGTCAAAAGACTAAATTCAACTTTCAAATTGTTATCTATAAAGTGTTGTCCTTAAAGTTTTATTCTTAGTGGGTAACCCTCTGTATATACCGTAGTATGAGCAGCACTGATCTGAACCCTGATTCTTGCTTTACCCTTAGGAACCACAGGGAAACTGAACCCTAAGATTAAAGAGTGTTTGCATAAATTAGAGTGACAATTTAGAGATCGTCTTTGTACATTATTTTGGTTTTGTATGGTGATGCCTACTTGTAAACCTATACTCCGTGCAATGTTTCTTTGCCAGAGTATTTTGATATTTTGAAACTGTTTTAAATTAGATTTCAATTTTAAATCTTAAGATGATCTTGAAGTCGTTTCTCAATTCCCTGTTTATTGAGACACTCCGTGCATGAATTGTAATGCAGTTTTGCAATATAAAAGAGAAGGATGTACACTTACACTGAGAATTTACCCACTCCATCCATGTAGCCGTTCTGCACAAGTTGCAAGGTATAATGGTATGGTTAGCTGGAGTTAAGACAGGTTGCAACGTATAATGGTACAGTTAGCTGGAGTTAGGACAGGTTACAAGATGTATTGGTATAGTTAGCGGGATTTAGGATAGGTTGCAAGGTATAATGGTATAGTTAGCTGGAGTTAGATCAGGTTGCAAGGTATAATGGTATGGTTAGCTGGAATTAGGACATGTTGCATATGGTATAGTTAACTGGAGTCAGGATAGGTTGCAAGGTGTAATGGTATGGTTAGCTGGAGTTAGGCTAGGTTGCAAGGTATAATGGTCTAGTTAGCTGAAGTTAGGACGGGTTGCAAGGAATAATGGTATAGTTAGCTGGACTTAGAACAGGTTGGTCAAAACCAAGACAGGGTTGGCCAAAACTAAGACAGGGTTGGCTTGAAATAAAGTAGTGTTGGCAGGTATTCATCATTGCTTAATTTATATAAGTTTACCAATTACGTATATTCCCTCTGCTAGCATCATATCTGCAAAGGTTGATGCAAGTTTAGCATCTCCAAGCATGACTGGACAGATAGCATGATCATCTCCGGATATAGTAAACCCAGCTGACGTCATTGCAGTTCGGAACCTAGAGAGGTAAACTGTTGGGTGAACTTCTCCAGGTCATGAGTTAAGTAAACTCTTTCATCCGCCGACATTTTCTAGTTTTTGTCATATCTTTGCAACCTGATTGTGTAAACCTTTGATATTTCAAACTTAAACTATCTGATATAACATATTTCATAGTTAGAAATAAAGAAAACAGGTTGGGAAGATTTAAGAATTGTATCATCAGAGTCTGTGGCAAAAACGCAGTTCCTTTAAAAGTAGCGCAGGTTTCGAAATTACACAACGATTTATCAAGTATTAGGTTACAAAATGTTACAAAATGTTGTTCACTTTGTTTTAGACTATGCGAATTGAAAATATTTCTCTCTCTGCAGACAGTTTATTACTTCAAGTTGTTTTCTATAAAGTATGTGAATTGCAATAATATTACATTTTGTACAGTATTTGCAAAAGCATAGAGATAAGCTGATATAGAAATATTGTGTATAGGAATATTTCTAAAACCAGCTTTGTGAGTTTTTTTAAAATTGTATTCAATTTTTATCTGAAAAGAAAGAGCATGTTTTCCATCAAAATGATGAAAGAAAATGTTGTCGCAAAACTAACTTTTTTCACCAGGAAAATATTTTTAAAGTATAATTCATCAAAGAAAAACTTTAAGTATCTCGTACTTTCACTTAAAGGGAGAATTCGCGAACAATTATGATGAACGAGAAAATTGAATTATCAATCGATGAGTACTATTTCTCAAGGCTATCAGATTTTTCTGAAAACAATATTTAAACGTCCCGATTCCTGTTTTAATTTTTTATTGAAGAGAAGCTTGCTTTTTTCTGGGCGAGAAAAATGTTCTCTTTTGGAGCAGACTTCTTGCCGGCGCGGAAACTCAAACTTAGACTATTTATTCGAACAGAGTTCTTAGTTTGAAAACTCAAAGTTCTACGACATCCGGTTGCAAAAATATAAGGATTTAAAAATTTGAAATTGTGTCAAAAAAAAAACTAAATTCCTTCATAATTTAAAAACGAACAAAATTCAAAATTCTACCTCTTAGTATTGTTTATAATACTTTGAACAAGACTAGAATCCTCCAGAAGCATTGTAAACACTTGGCTAGCACAGGCAACCACTGGAGGAGGAAGAGAATTCGAGAATAGATAGGGTCTGAAATACAATCCACAATAATCTACCAACCACAATGAACTAGAAAGACAAGTTTATGTGACATTGATAATACGACTTTGTGACCTCGTAGCTCCTCTAGTTTTGATTTTCAAGAATGAGAACATCAAATTTATCTGGTTACATATTAGAATTGCAAAACATTTAGATTTTCCTTCTCAAGAGCTCTTGAAAAAAAGGAATTATGATTAAAAATATTTTTAATTTGATTCAAAAGTGACATTTACGTGAAACAGTTACTAGACAGTATAAAGGTGTGAATGTATTGTATACCTGGATCTCTGCCTAAGAAGATCAATGAGAGGTTTAGAAGCAGTTGTGTATCCACCAGCTGCCCCACCCAGTGCTTTTCCAAGGGTAGAGTTTATAATATCAACACTTCCCTACAATAATTCAGACAGAGTTTATAATATCAACACTTCCCTACAATAATTCAGACAAAGTTTATAATATCAGCACTTCACTACAATAATTCAGACAGATTTTATAATATCAACACTTCCCTACAATAATTCAGACAGATTTTATAATATCAACACTTCCCTACAATAATTTAGACAGATTTTATATGCCCTTCCCCCCCCCCCCATATAGTTATTTTTAAAAATACATATTTTGGTGGTTGCTGTTTTCCTATGAACTAAATGGTTAAATCTGACCTAATTAAACTGACAACTCGTCACAACAATAATTTTTAGATTCTTTATTCTTTAAAACATGTGATCATAGGTCTACGACTAAAGGTTGAAAAGATATGTTGTGGTGGCAAGTATTCACAGTTCCTTTGTTAAACATTTTGTACTTTAAGAAGAAAAAGCTACAAAAGCATAAACAAGAATATGAATTAGTAATTTATTCCGAATAAGATAAAATAAATGTGATCAAATATATTTGTTTTCATTTCTTGGAACTTTAAAGGAATATATATATTAAAATGAAGAGAGTATCAATGTTTAGACAGTTTGAAGCCTTTACATTTTATCCATATTTGGTCAATTTATTTCATATTTTATTCAATTAGATTTAAAAATTTGTTAATAGAAATATCTCAAAATATTTAAAGTAGAATTACAAAAATAGATATTTAGGTATTTAGGTATTTAGGAGGGCTAGATAATGATAGATAATAATAGATTAGATAGTACAATAAGATTTTAATCATTGCAAACTATGGACAAAAGTAGAAGGTAAAATTTCTGCGACATCAATGGTGCATGACGATGTCGAAGACCTTAGATATTTTAAACTATAAATTCTGTTAGATAAAAAAATCTAAGTTTGAATATCAAAGGTGTACACCATCAGTTGGCAAAAATATAGGGATTGGAAAATTTGAGTTCATGACAAGGACTCAATTCCATTAAAAGACTCAATTCCTTTATCACAATTATTGAATATTTTATTCTGACATTAAATTAAAATGTCACCCGTCACGTAAAAAACGGCTGTACTGACTGTGTACTGTACGTATTATCCAGTGCGACCTATTGTACTGACTGTGTACTGTACGTATTATCTAGTGCGACCTATTGTACTTGATTGTGTACTGTACGTATTATCCAGTGTGACATATTGTACTTGATTGTGTACTGTACGTATTATCCAGTGTGACTAATGTACTTGATTGTGTACTGTACGTATTATCCAGTACGAACTATTGTACTTGATTGTGTACTGTACGTATTATCCAGTGCGACAAATTGTACTTGATTGTGTACTGTACGTATTATCCAGTGCGACTAATGTACTTGATTGTACAGTGTACTTGATCCTACCTTCATACCGAAGAACTCCTCTGTTCCTCGGCCTGTTTTCCCAAAAAATCCAGTCGCATGGCATTCATCAATAAATATCATTGCATTGTATTTTTCTGCCAGAGCCTAAATACGATCATTTTATATTTCAAACAAATTCTCATTTCTATATCCACAGACTAATAACAATTTAGATATAACAATTAATGTCGTCTTTCCAAGATTTAGGGAGTTTTTCGTTCACAAGAAACTCAGTGGCTGAAGCCCAAATGTGTTACGCGCATGCTCCCTCTCTCTGTCTTAGCATTCAGCGCGTAACTTCTTTAGGGTTCTCCCTCAGGGTTATTGTGAACGAAAAACCCCTAAATCTTGAAAAGACGACATCTAGTATTCTATCTGTATTGTTATCATTCTATGTCTATATTAATCACTCGATCCGCTTAAACACATATTTTTTACGATCAGTGTGTTGCAGAGTGCAATAATACTACAGAAGCTAGAAAGAAAGAAATTTTAAAATTGGGATCTATTGGTAGTAAAAAGAGGATGACTAAAATTAAATTATTTTTTTTTGAGTAAACGGATAAAAAACGTTCGTCACGGACACCAAAATTTCTTTGGAGGCATTTTGTACTGCAGTGTTTACATTTTACACACAGAAATATTAAAGCAAAAGTCAGACTAGGTTGTTTGTATCCCCCCCGAAACCCTTTCCCAGAATCAAACTTTTGTCAAATTTTTTATCCTGAAATTAGTAAATACACTTTTTAATTTCGTAAATTTTGTTTTTAACCTGGTACAATATATTTAGTTTGTAACCTGGTACAATATATTTTGTTTGTAACCTGGTACAATATATTTTGTTTGTAACCTGGTACAATATATTTTATTGCGAATTACTTAAAATTTATGATTCGTAATATGACGTGGGAAAAGCTTCTGTTCAAATTGGATCTACATACAAATGGTACCATTATATTCAGAATATGTCTATTATGTTTAATAGAAACGAGATTGAACAAAAGAAATTATATAAATGATATTTTTATTTTTTATTTTAGGAAATCCAGGAGCAAGGAATAATGTGATTTTATACATTTTGAAAAGTTTTTACCTTTATTTCGGGTAAAGGACACACATTGCCATCCATAGAGAACACTCCGTCTGTAACTATCAATCTACTTCTCCCATCCTGGATATATAATTCTTGGATATCTATCAATCTACTTCTACCATCCTAATATATAATTCTTGGTTATCTATCAATCTACTTCTACCATCCTAGATATATTTTAACAGTGGGCGAGTTTTGTTGATCTTTTACGATCAGCAATTCAAGGATTTTTTGGATCGCTGAGATCATAGCTACCAAGGGGAATCATGCCCCCTTCCCCCCCCCCATTCTTTAACCCTACGGTTGGACTTTAGAGTCCTATTTTGAATCCTAACGGATTTATTTGAGTTTGCATTTGGATTCTATAAATAACCCAAGCGACGCCGAATTTTCCGTTATCTTGAAGACCCAAGCGTTGGGGAGGGGGCGGAACAACCCCGGGGTAGCTAGGGTTAAATGCGATCCTAGGATAAAGCAAAATCGAAGGAGGAGAGTTAGTTGATCGTCAGCTCCCTTAAACTGAGGTTCCCTTGAAGAATTCCCCTATTTGATGAAACTGATTTTATTCATAATATTTAGTTTGTATAAGTATCGTTCGATTTAAAGTTTGTATTTTTGTACTTTTGTATATAAATATATTGTAAGAAAAACCGACTCGTTGAATATTTGAGAAACTCAGTGCATTGCTTTATTGATTTTTATTCATATACAATAATATGATTCTTGGTTATCTATCAATCTACTTCTCCCATCCTAGATATATAATTCTTGGTTATCTATCAATCTACTTCTCACATTCTAGATTTATAATTCTTGGTTATCTATCAATCTACTTCTCCCATCCTAGATAATGATTCTTGGTTATCTATCAATCTACTTCTACCATCCTAGATATATAATTCTTGGTTATCTATCAATTTATTACTTCCATCCTATAGAATAATCATTGGTTATCTATTAATCTATACTTCTCTCATCCTAGATATATAATTATTAGTAATCTATCAATTTATTACTTCCATCCTATAGAATAATCATTGGTTATCTATTAATCTATAATTCTCTCATAATTACCTGGGACTGAATAAGTTTTTCTTCTAAGTCTTTCATATTCTTGTGCAAATATCTAAACTTCTTTGCTTTACACAACCTGAACAAAACAAGTATTTATCCACTAAACCTGAGCATTTAAAACCAGAACTATCAAACTTTACGGATATTTTTTAGTTTATAATATTTCCAAATGCTATGATTCATTGCCACAAACTCAATTTTTTTAATTTTTTTAATCCCTAAACATATGTCTGCAACTCGCGAATGTCGTAGACTTTTGATGTTCATGATCGAATCTTAAATACAGGGTGATTCTGAAAAGTCGATTTTTTTCATTTGTGCTTAGTTGGATTAAAAATCCACAATATTGAATAAGAAAATCTTCCAATTTATTAATTATTGTCTGATATTTGACAGCTTCCGAAACAACAATGGCTACACCCAGACAAAAAAATTACAGGTCTCCCTGAAACATATGTAAAAAAATACGACGTTTTCCTCCATTTTCTCCCTGAAATAGTTTTTTTTTTATTTTGATATGTAAAACTTTACAAGACCCTAGAGATATTTGAGAAGATCTAGTAGAATAAGATTCCAGATTTTAAAAATTGTGCTCCATGTGATGTAAAAAGTCTAATTGTATTAATATTTTCTTTATCAAATGTCAATTGTCATGTGATAACTCGAGTAAATAAATATCAAATTTATCTTTTTTTGTACCTTGTTTTGCTTCGGAGAACATTTTTTTAAAAATCTACTTTTAAAAATCACCCTGTAGTCAGATCAAAAAATCTATGTTTGATATATCAAAGGTTTACACCATCAGGTTGCAAGAATATAAGGATTAGAAAATTTGAGTTTAATGAAAAGTCCTGAAATTAACATTACAAGTTTATTTTTTAATCTAATGTTAGGAATAGAATATGAAACCAGAGGTTAAAGAAATTAATATGTTAAAAAATATATTTTAGTTAAATCTCACCTAATCCCGTCAATAATAGATGCATGATTCAACTCATCTGATATTATCACATCCTTACAAATGTTAAATTAAATCAGAAATATAAATACTTAACGGCAGTGCCCGGCGTTGCCTGTGGAATTTTAAAATTCCATTGGTTCCCTCAAAAATGTTTAGCCAATTTGGTCTAACACATATATATATATATATATATGAGCGAAGAGTTATATCTATATATAAATTTTGCTTGTCTGTCTGTTTGTATCCAATAAACGTCAAAACGGCTGAACCGATCAGCCCAAATTTTGTGTGGGACCTCACGTGGCCCCAGGGAAGGTTTATGGCCAATCAGACTTAAATATGTAATCCTAAAATATTTTTATCTTAAATTATTTGATTTCGTAAAATTTTGAAAATGCGCGAAAAAATATTATGAAAGGAACTGAGTTTTTGCCACAAACTCAAATATTCTTATCCCTATATCTTGGCAACCCAATGTCGTAGACCTTAGATATTTCAAACTATTAATTCTGTTAGATCAAATAATCTAAGTTTGAAATATGAAAGGGTTAAACCCACTGGTTGCAGAGATATAGAAATTAGAAAATTTGAGGTTGTGGCAAAAACTCAATTCCTTTACAAATTAAAAAAACAAAACAAATTTCATACTAAACAAAGAGAAGATGCTCGCAGATAAAGCCTCAATTAAAAGTTGAAAAAACATGTGGGCGCGAAGCGCCCTAGATGCCTAGTTATATAGATTGCTGATTGATGATTGAAAACACGTAATTTGATTTTGAATCTGTTTAAGCATTTTATCAGTAATTTAATTTTTTACATTTTTCAATTAACAGAAATATTATATTCTTCAGAGGATTGTAATCGATATCCATTGTTATTCGATATTCGATTCACAACGGTACCTTTGAAAGCTTTGTCATAATGAATCATGAATAAGAAATCATTGTTTTTGCTTTCGAAAACTGATTTATTTCATTTCTAAAAAAGTGACTTGAGCAATATTTGTTTTGTAAACAATAGAGAAATTTACAGAAACTTTTCAACCCAGTAAAACAACGTAATCTTCAAAATTATTGATCAGATTTAGGTTTCAAATGAACATTTTAAACAATTTTTTTAAATTGAATAATAAACTCACTGGGATAATTATTCTCTTCAGAAATTTAATCTTACCTCAGGTCCGCAGAGCTGTTCGAAAAGTCCTGCGTTAGCATCGAAACAAGATGCATAGAGAATAGTATCCTCACGCTCATGAAACCTTTACAAAGAAGGATATATAGAGAATAGTAGCCTCACACTCATGAAACCTTTACAAAGAAGGATATATAGAGAATAGTATCCTCACGCTCATGAAACCTTTACAAAGAAGGATATATAGAGAATAGTATCCTCACACTCATGAAACCTTTACAAAGAAAGATATATAGAGAATAGTATCCTCACGGTCATGAAACCTTTACAAACAAGGATATATAGAGAATAGTATCCTCACGCTCATGAAACCTTTACAAAGAAGGATATATAGAGAATAGTATCCTCACGCTCATGAAACCTTTACAAACAAGGATAAATAGAGAATAGTATCCTCACTCTCATGAAACCTTTACAAACAAAGATATATAGAGAATAGTATCCTCATGCTTATGAAACCTTTACAAACACGGATTATAGTATCCTCGTGCTCATGAAACCTTTACAAACAAGGATATATAGAGAATAGTATCCTCATGCTTATGAAACCTTTACAAACAAGGATATATAGAGAATAGTATCCTCGAGCTCATGAAACCTTTACAAACAAGGATATATAGAGAATAGTATCCTCGTGCTCATGAAACCTTTACAAACAAGGATATATAGAGAATAGGCCTCGTGCTCATGAAACCTTTACAAAGAAGGATATATAGAGAATTAGCATCCTCACGCTCATGAAACCTTTACAAAGAAGCCCGCATAGAACAAGCGACGCTGTTTTAGAGTCTGAAAACGACCCGCACGACCCCAAAAACGGGCGCCGGCCCGACTCTGTTTTAGTACTAATAAAAGAGTCGTTTTTAGCCCGAAAAGACCCTGAATCCGTCTCTCCTCAAAACGGATGGGTGTCGGGTTACTTCACGGCAGGGGGCCATTATCTCCCTCAAGATTTATTACTTTGGCGCCATATGTCTACATCTGCAAGCTGTCGAGACAAGCTGTTTTCCACCCCCCACCCCCCCATATTAAA